CACTCACGCACGCACGCATGCACACACACACACACACACACACACACACACACACTCACACACACACACTCCTACTCCCTTTTATGTATGTCCTTCGAAGAATTCTTCCTGCTTTTTTTTACTGCTGTCTTCCTCTTGTATGTTTCTAAGTATTCTTTTGTTTGCTGAGCTCAGCACCCTTAAGCAGTAGCAAACAGTCAGTCATTCCTCGTTTGAATTCCCTGCAGCACTCTTAGGGGGGCCGCACAATTCGGGATGTCTGTCTACCTTACCGGTGATGATGGACGTTTGTGTGAGTAGGTCATGTGCCTTTTTGCTCAGTGCTGGATATGTCACATGTGGACTGCTAGTCTGCGCTCTGCTGCTGCCTTGAAGTTGATGCCCATCCCGCTTGCTTCACAGGTCGTTATTGGCAAGCTGTTGTGTTCACTATGTTGGTGTTGCCTTGTGCTACGCTGCTCCCCTGCCTTGCTTCCCATCTGCAGGACGTGCCTTCCGTGTCCTTTGCTTGTGTACCTTGCAGTTCAGTTGGCTTGTTGGTGTTGCCTTGTGCTTCACTGCATGGTTGCCCTGTCATTCGTCCGCTTGCCCCGTCGCACCTTGCACTGTGCTCTAGCACCTTGCACTGTGCTCTAGCACCTTGCACTATTGCAGCCCGCCACTGTGTTCCATTTGGGAACAGTCTGCCGTAAACGAGGGTGAATGAGTAAATGACGCAAACCATGATACGGGCACTCCGCATGTTGTTGAGGGTTCAGCCTCCTGATGAGTCGGTGCAACTCCTCTGAAACAATCGTCCTTCGGGACATCCGTTCAAATTGGAACGATACAGAGAAGATTAGCATGGCCCCTGCGCAAGGATGACACGCATAAATCGAGAAATGGTCCTATGAAACAATCTTTTGTCAGTATTCTCTTTTTATTTTTACTTCTGCTTTTCTTGTCTGTCTTCTTTGGCCTTTCTTACTTTTTGGCCCGGTGCCTTGTCATTTGTTACAGCGGCAACATCAGATGCCAGATGGCAATGAATTCAATCATGGCAAAGTTTTACGTTTTGGAAGTTTTTAACAACAACGTAGCCGGGCTTGAATAAGCGTCTCGTGGACCACCCAGGTCGAAATTCCCCACGTGAAAATCCGGCAGAACACATTTTCGATTATAATTATGGTTTTTACTATTTAGTGCCAATTCCTTGCGAGTAACTCTTCACTCTCTTTTTTTGGCACTTGTTGACTTGTCAATCCAGCAGAGGTCCCAAAAAAAATTGAACGATGGGTGAGAGCACTGAAAAGACAATAAAGTTTTTGAAAATTCGAAACCACTTTCTGATCAGTACATGGGCACCTGAGCCACGCGTCTGACACCTCAAATTATGGAGGCGCGAAACGAAAACGGGGCCTATTTTTGAAGTACGTGTGGTGCAGTGTGGCAAAAGGCGACCCTTTGATGCCGTCTATGATCATGTAGATCGTATGGCAACACGTTTGTTTTTTGTTATCTGGGTGGATTGTCTGTTGGGAGACGCAGGGAATGCGTTCTTTATGGTATTTTCCCTCATTAAACCACCAGTACCTCGCCCTGCTAAAAATTTCCGACATGGCCGTTAATGCGCTGCTTCGGACGGGGGACGTCCGTATGCGAAGTGGTCGTCCGGGTATTCAGGGCATACTCACACGGGGACCAAAAGTCTCAAAATTTTGAGGTATTTGGTTCGGTTTTTTTTAGTCATTTGGTCCCCATGTGGTCACACGGGCGGACTTCGTCCAGAAAGGATGAAGTCGCGACCCTGACACTTTGAACTCAGGGCAAGTGCGCCCGGTCACACGGGTGAAGACCAAACAAAAAGATTGAATTTGTTGTTTGTTTTTTTGCACGCCAGTATAACGCGTGGGCTTTTGCTACAAGGTAAATGTTTCTGGTCGCACTTCCAGTTGTTTGGCGGGCTGTCTTCTTCTTCTATGATTTTCTTCAATTCGCAGACATTAGAAAAAAACGTCGCGTTGCAACTTGTACGCACCCTCGTACGAGTACTGATTCGTACTCTTGTACTCGTACGCTACTCGTACGCTAGGGGCCCTCGTACGCTAGGGGGGCCGTATGAGTTTCCTTTTTTTTTTTTTTTTTAATAATCCGATATTGTTTTTATTTTTTTCCTCAATTCTAATCAGAATCTGAAGATGATGCTCAGCCAAATGTTGCTTGTTTTGTGTTGTTACATCACATATTTGTTTTCGGATTTTTTTGATGACTTCTTTTTTTTTTTTTTTTTTTTTTTTTTTTGCTTTTTAGTACGGGGGCGTACAAGACGTACAGGGTCCCGTACAGGTTCCCGTACAGAAATTACCTGTACGTTTCGTACGGAAAGCCCTCGTACGTGTACTCCATGCAACGTAGACGAAAGGTAATTTGAGATCACCTCCGGAGGTGGTGTCAAAAAGGGTCCTCCCACGGCCCCACAGGCCGCTGACAAAAGGGTCACCGTTTGGGGCATTTGGGTAGCGGGCCTTTCCAGTGTGACCCGAAAACTAACTCAAATTTTGGGATTTAGGGTTTTTTGCTCCTCGTGTGAGGGCGTACTCACACGGGGACCTATAATCCCAAAATCTCTCCAAAAAGGGGAAAAGGCCGGTCACGACTCACAAGGATCTCCCAAATTCGCAAATTTACTGCAACGAACCTTCATCTACCCTGGCCTACAGCCAGGGCCTATTTGGCTATTTGCCAGTTCGGCCTGTGGGACCAGGCCGTGGCCTGACCCCATAGGTCGTGCACTGTTTCAGTCCAGTCCCGTCCTGCCCGGTACCACTGTTGGTACCAGGCCAGTCCAGTCCAGTCAGTTTGTCCGCTGGGGGTATAACCCAGTTGTTGTCTGTTTTTTGGTCATTCTTCATTTTTGCACTGTTGGAGTGCGTGCGGTCTTCAGTCTGCGTCGGAGCTGCGCCGTCCCTTCCACCTCCATCTCCACTTCCTCCTTCCTCAACCCCTTCTCCTCCATCCTGTCGGACCGCCATCCCGGCGGGTCCAGCACACTGGTATCATAGCAGGAACGGTCCCCGCTCCAACCCGCACTGGCCCCCCCCCACTTAACAGCGGGAAACGGTGTAATCCCGATAGCGGGATTTTGAGGGTTTTTCAGGGCTTTTTGGGGAAAAAAGCAGGCCAATGCCGCCACACGCACGCGCGCACCACGCGCCCACACTGCCCCACCCCCCCCTGCTCCCGGATATATATTATCAAGATCCGGGAGTGTTGCAGCTGCCAGGGTTTGAACCAGGGCAGCTGCTGCTCATGCGCGTGCGTGGCCAGTGCCTTAACACACTGGCCAAAGCCACAGTATGGATTGATATCCATATTGTGGCTTGTCGTTGTTCAAGAGGTGGCACAGCAGCTATTTTCCCCCCTCCCCCTCCCCCGTTGGCGAGCAGCGAGCAGCGTGTAGGAAAGCTATTCGCCCCCCCCCCCTCCCCACTTCGTCGTGGCTGTTGCTACCTGTGGACGTGACAATCTGCTGTGCCACATGGACACCTGCTGAAGACCCCCCTGGCTAGGGGGCTGCACCACATACATACATTTTTTTTTTTTTTACTACTTCACTATTGCAGCAACAGTTTGGCAAGAGTTCAAGCTTCCCCCCTGGCTAGGGGGCTGTGTGACTGTGGCAGTAGGGTGGCTGATCAAGATCTCAGCCAATCCTAGATCATCATCATCTTTTTACTGTTGTGGCATCACATCAGCATCATCTTGAAGGCCAAGATCTTGTGGATCTTGGTAGAACTCTGCTCTTGGCCACCCAAGAGCCTGGTATCACCATCCTACCACTAACCCACTCTCTCCCAACCTCTTTTCTCTTTTCCCCCCCATCATCTAATCATCTTTTCTCCCCCGTACCACTACTCTCCACTCTGACCCTCCTCTCCACCTATCCTCTACAACCTTTTTCTCTCCTCTTCTCCCCACTCACCATCTCCCACTAATCTCATCTACCCCTCTCTACCTTTTCTGTACCCTTCTCTCCCATTCTACCACCCTCCTCTCCCCCTTCCCTCCCCCAACTACAACCCCATCATCTCCACCATCTCCCACCTTACTTTTTCTTTCTCTTCTCACGTATTTCTCTCCTTCTTCATCACTTTTTCATCCCACCCCACCCAACTTCGAATTTTTCTGTTTTTCTTCTTTTCTCTTTCTCTTTGACTTAAATTTTCCCTTTTCCTCCAAAAATTCGAGTAATTTTATTCCCTACTTCTTTTATCATTTTTCTGATTTATTTTTATTTTTATTTGATTTATTCTGAAAATTCGAATTTCCTTGCGGCACCCTCAAATCTGATTAGGAGTTAGTCATTCTTGCTTTCGGCACACATTTTGACCCCGTGGGGGTAACGAAGTGCTGCCGATTTTTTTTGTTTTTTCTTTACTTAGTCTTTTTCAACACATTTTGATCCCTTGAGGGTAGCGAAGTGTTGCCCAAATTTTCCCATCTTACGTAGTTTTTTTCTTGACGGCACACTTCGACCCCATGGGGGTAACGAAATGCTGCCGAAAACTAAGTTCTTCTCTTCACTCTCCTCCACCGCCTTATTTATTTATTTAGCTTTTTTTTTTTTTGAAAATTTTAATTTGCGGCGTTTTGAAAGTTAGTGTGCTCCTTTCGCTCTTCCCTTCCTCTTGGCACATTTTTGACCCCATGTGGGGTGGAAAAATGTTGCCGAAAATTCCAAAAAATAAATATTACCTTTTTTCACACTTTGTTTGTTTATTAATTTTTTTATTTTATTATTTATTTTCTTTTATTTTTATCTCGAAATTTCATTGTTTATTTCATTTTCTCTCCCCCTCCCCCCCATGGTTATTATTTTATTTTCTTGATTAGGTCGCCGCTACCCTCCCCTAACCACTCGAACCCCAACTTGGGTTTTCTTTACGGTTTTTCTAGGGTTTAAGGTTCTCCTGAACCCCCCTACTCCCCCGCCTCCTCTCGTCGGGCACCCACGATCCGAATGGCTCCTTTCCCCTCGACCGGATTCGCGCCACCATCTCACGTGCGACCCGCTGGTCACGGGGCGAGCCGACACACGACTACCCACTCCGCTCTCGCGGTCCCCTCCCTCTCACCGGTGGTCCACTGTCCCCATACCATAACCCCTCTTTCCCCCCACCTCCCACCATGTCTACGTCTTTTCCTCCACCGCCCACGAACAGGGCGACATCCGAGGAACTCGTTGCGGCGCCGTCCACCTCTCAGGCGTCCACCCACCCGACGGTCCAGGAACAGCAGGTTGTGGACCCCACAGACGTTCGCATTGTTCTTGCGTCTCTCCTTGCACCTCTGCAAGCGCGACTCGATGCGCTTGCACCCTTGCAAAGGCAAGTCAACGCGCTCGCCCTTGAAGTTCACCACCTCAAGGGCTCTCATTATCGCTCTCCCCATAGCTCTCAGACCCCATCCCCTACCACCTCAGAGTCCGACTCTCCACGACTCGAGGGACGGAGACGTGGCGGTTCATCCTCCTCCATGGGCCACGTCTAACACTCCCCCTCCGCAGTGGTGAGTGTTGCTGCGGCTCAGACCATATGGTCTATTGCGGCACACCCATTGGCTCCCGCCGCTCCCGGCGCCCCGGTTGCGTCGGCCACTGCCGCAGGTGCTGTCGCCCAGATACCGGTATCTGGCCAGGCAGTTTCATCTACCGACCCCGGTGCTGCTTTCCACCTTCCTGCACTGTTCGCAGCACTACGGCCCGGAGTTCTTCCTCCTCCCGCTAAGGTACTCTCTCCGCCCCCTCCACCTCCGACCCCGCGCACCCAGCGGGTGGCTACCCTAGTACAGGCCACCGTGGCGCAGCTCCAGCCGGAGATTCTCTTCTTGAGACAGCCTCACCCATCACAGGCTGCCCAACCTTCTTCTTCTTATACCGCCCCTCCCACCTCTGTCTTGCCGGCTCGTTCCCTCGACCGGCTCCCGCCCCTCTACCCTACTACCTCGCTACTCCGTCACAGTTGGTTGTGGTTGTTGTCTCCACGTCTGCTGGACCTTCCACCAACAGCCCCAGTTCTTAGCCAACTACCACCTCCACGTC